CCACTCCCCACTTATAAAAATAGCACTTTACCACTGCACCCTCTCTAATCTCAGATGCACCCTGAGTCATTTTGTTCTGGAACCGGGCCTGCGTTCTAAGAGTTGGAGATCAAAATAAATGTATAAAACAAAGCAGAGTGAATATTGGACCAGCAACATGACTCCATCAAAATGTTACTTCAACTCTGACGGATGGGTAAAAGCAAAAAGGGAACTGTTTGCTGCTATAACAATAAGGCAATATATTTTTTTAAATTTCAAGTTTACAGCTTGTTTCACTTACAGTAATGCCATTTTCAACAAAAAAAAGAATGTGGCTTTCAATTTAACAATGCATACTGTAAAATGTGAACTTGGACTTCATTGACCTTTTACGTTTTTTAATGGACTCAATGTGCGTGATACAATTTCCTAACATTCGAATTCTTGAGATTTATCTCCAAAACTTAGGAACTAAATTGGAACTTTGAAAAGAGAGTATTAAATCATATCCCTTTAATGTTATCAGGATCAGGATGTGTGATTTTTGGAGAATGGCACTGGTATAAAACAAATAGCAACACTCTGTTCCAGTTTGAATCTCTGTAAACTTTTTTCTCAAATAAAGTTGTTCATGTTAAAGGTAGGGTAGGTAAGAATGGAGAAACCAGCTCGAGTGCGTTAGAATTTGAAAGTAGGCAGCCGAAAAAATCTACCCCTTCCTTCAGACTTCCTTACAGAGTCCCTCCTCCAACACACACGAAACTGACCAATGAGGGCACGAGATAAGTTTGTGCACGAGATGGAAGGCTGACAGGCAGGTAGGCCATCCAGTTATCTTATGCTTTTTACAGCGCCACGGCTTCCACAGATGACATTTTTTTATGTATTTATTGTCAAAGCATTTAATATATTCATTGCTATCGGGATGTTGAGAGCATTCCCTGGAATATAACAACTGATTCTGAAGTGAATTACCTACCCCACCTTTAAGACTGAACAATTAAGAAATAAAAAAGACCAACGTAAAAAGCAATATTGCTATTGAAGCATGTTAGATTAATAAAATAAGATAAAGTCCTTTAAGACCTATAAAATAAATAAAACAATATAAAGGTAAGTAAGTAATAAAGACAAAAAGAACATTCAAAGTGGGGGTTGCTAATAAAAAGCTAATCTAAAAAGATGTGTCTTTAGCTGTCGTTAGTTGGCCTCTCTGATATGAGAAATGAGAAATGAAGTTTTTTCAAAGCATTCATACATTTCTTGTTTTTATATGGATAAACATTTCCAAATGACTTCTAGCCAGCATGACCAGGCGTTTTTATGTAACGCAAGAGTGTTGTTGGATAAGGTATTTAGGTCGAAGCCGAACCTGTTCTCCCAGTCCAAAGCAAAAGTGAAAGAGCTGCAGGGCCTGGCAAGAATTGATCAGATAACACATACCAGAGAGATTACCGAACAATTACTAATCTAAATGTAGATTTGCCGTGAAAATGATCCATTTACTGCTATGGGTTATGACTCATGTATCTTAAAAAAAATCAATAAAGTACTATCTTATCTTATCTTATGTACAATAATGTGCCTTAAAATATGATAACTTAAGACTTGTGCAATAGTTGAACGTTTCTCATCTGACAACATTGATTTGGCCATTATAACAGAATATTGTATATTCCCTACTCCACTCTTAATGTAAATAAGATCCCGCTTTAATCTAGTTTAAAACACTAATGAAATGTCCAAATGTACATTAAAAGACTTGTTAGTGGCTGTTGGTTTTAATGTAAGTACTGTAAGGTATTTTAATTTGAATGTAAAGCCAGGCTGTTTTTGAGATGAAGGCGATGCTGTAAATGTATAATCGTGTATGCAGTAAAAAAAGGTCTGTGGTCAAATCTCATCAAGTGAGAGATTAACCGTCAACGTAAAATAAGAAATGCTGCTGCTTTGTGCTCATCTACATTTGTTCCTTGGACTTAATTAATAAAAATCAATCAAAAAAGAGTTTCAGATCCTTTTTGGCTCACACATCTTTTGATATGACTCTACACAAGTCCATATGTAATAACAGACTTACAGTGATGATCAACTTATGAGATAAAACATTAGTGCCATTTGCTGCACTATTTCTTGATGCTCTAAATATTTTTAAATATTTGTAAAGCACTTTGAATTGAATTTTGAAAGGTGCTTCATATATAGAAACTTGCCTTGCCTTGACTGATAAGTGCTACGTTACAATATCACAGAACACATTTTCATGGATAAGGGGTCATTTGTCACGGTTGGTCGTTTGATTGTTTGGCGGTGTTGGGATCTGATATTTACTTCACATGAAACCAGATTAAAGCTGAACCAGTTCTACCAGTGTGAGGTATCTCCCTTCTTGTTAAAGCAAAAGTGGAAGTGCTGCACGACGAGAGAAGAGTCAAGCAAAGAACGGAGCTACGAGAGAGATTACCATTATCTATTATATCGGTTCAGCATCTTAAAAAGGTTTCAAATATCCCGTTTGAGGCTTTGAACTCCTACATTTTCATCAATTACCGGATCCAGATCTCTAAGGTAACGTTGACTTTGCTTCCTGATAGAACAACATTTTGTGACCCATTTAAACCCTGATGTTGTTTAGCTTGATTACATTTAGTTAAAGTGTGTAAACACATATTTATTTCTGTTTCTTTATCTGCTCCTCAGAGACATTCACCTGAAAGAGATGGCTGGTGAGAAAACAAGTTTACTGTTTTTAATATATCTACTATATATGTTGTTTTTTCAAGAGTGCAATGTAAACATATTGAAGATAAAGTCATGTGAAAGAGGTTGTGTGTACAGAGAAGTCGGGTCTATTATACATTAAAGAAACTGAAACGTTGACTTTAATTAAATGTATTACGTCAACACTTTTCACATAACTGTATGAGGTTAGTTGAAAGCAATAATATTAACTTGAACCTAATCTTTTTTATTTAAATTTAATAATTTTGCTTTCAACTAACCTCATACAGTTATTTGAAATCTGTTGACATAATACATTTAATTAAAGTACATTTTCAGTGTATTTTTCACTCTGCAGTTTCCCTGTTTCGGTGTCTTTCAGCTCATTGTTTTGGTTTTGTTGAGTCTCACTTTTAACTCAGCAGGCGTTGGTTATCAGCAAAAATCTACCATAAACCACTTTAATAAAGTAACCCAGCACCAAACAAACAAAGCTTGTTAACAAAGGGAAACATCTGGCAGCTAAACAGCCTGATACTGTTCTCAACAGACAACCCGAATGCCACATCCACCTTGTACTCTTATATAAAGGAGAGCAACAACGTGACAATCAACCACAACCAAACCTCATCGTCGGATGTCAATGGGGCTGCTAGAGGGACCCAAGTCGAGGTAATGACTAGATTTACTGATCTAAAACAATGAAGTTTACACAATATCAATGCAAAGTGCCCTGATGTAGTAATACCTACAGGAAAATTGCTGAGGGTCCACTTCTAACATTTCAGAGTGACGTTTGTCTTCTTTCAGGTCCCTCAGGAGCGAGTCATAAGAGCTGGCTTGAGATGTGAGGCTGGATTTTCAGGTAAGAGTCATGGCTCCTTCCAGTGACACCACCAAAACAATTTATTTTGTTCAGTTCACATTCAGATTTAGTCAAATCAATTGGGTATTTTCCAACGGTACAGTCTTTTAAATGACTGACAATTTAGCTTAAAATTACAAAAGAAAGAATTAGTATCAGAATTTATTTACAGAAGAGTTAAGTTCAGACACTTAGGCGATGTTTACACGGGAACGAAAACGATTTTGAACCGAAGCCGATTTCAAAAAAGTCTTCCGTCCACATGGAATTGGCTCAATAAACGTGTCCGTCCACACGAGACCACTCGACACGCTGGAGACACTGTAGTACATATTCCGAACCTGTAAGTGGCGCTGTTCTTCCGCCACAAAATACACCAAAAGCAGCGATGAAGACCCCCCGAGCATGGTTGCCATGGTTGCCTGGTTGCCCTTCTGGTTATTCTCTGCGGTGGATTTAGCAACATGTAGTTCATCCATGTCCACTTGTTGCTGATGGTTGTGATAGAGGAGCTGTAGACGTTGCACTAACATCTGTAGCATGGTCAGTAGCGTCTGGAGCACGAAAGCAACCCTGTGATCAGCCATTGTTGTTGTTGTTGTTGACGAGACGCATCAGCAATGACGCGGGTGACGCAGGGGTGAGGAGGAGAGGTGGGGAAAGGCGGGGCTATGGCGTCATCGTTTTCAGGAAATTATCGTATAGGGCAGGGGTGGCCAACCAGTCAGAGGTTAAGAGCCACATTTTTTCTATGTTACGGCAAAGAGCCACATCAAACACAGTCACTGATACCGCTTGTTTCAGTTTTTTGTTTTCTGGAGACAAGATTTCAACCACGTCACTGATGCATTTTTGTGGCATTGGGATATATATTTTTGAAATCCTCTGGAGCAGAGAGGAGCTGTGGATTATTGTTATTGATTAA